ACCTTTTTTTACTTGACAAAGGAAATAGACATACAAGCCTGGGAAGTGCAGAGAGTCCCAAACAAGATGAACCCAAACAGACCCATACCGGGACACATCAAAATTAAAATACTAAATGTTAAATACAAAGAAATAATCTTAAAAAGCAGCAAGAGAAAAGCAGTTAGTTACCTCCCAGAAAGCTCCCATAAGACTATCAGCTGATTTCTCAATAGAAACTTTGCAGGCCAGAAGGAAATAGCACAAAATATTCAAAATAATGAAAAACAAAACCTACAACCAAGATTACTCTACCCAGGAAAGGTATCATTTAGAGTCCAAGGACAAATAAAGAGCTTCCCAGACAAGAACAAGCTAAGAGAGTTAATCACCACCAATCAGTATTTATTATGAGGACTATTAGAAGGCCTTCTTTAAGATAGATTTTTTTAAAAATCAAAACTATGAATAATAAAATGGCAATAGCTATGTATCTATCAAAATTTAAATGTAAATGAATTAAATGCTTTAAGCAAAAGATAGGGTGACTGAATGGGTAAGAAAACAAACCCCTTACACATGCTGTCTACAAGAGACTCACTTCAGATAGAAAGACACACACAGACTGAAAATAAAGGAATGGGGAAGAGATATTTCATGAAAATGGAAAGAATAAAAAAGCTAAAGCAGCAGTACTTATATCAAACAAAATAGATTTTAAAACAAGGCAATAACAAGAGAGAAAGGACCCAGTAATCCCACCTCTTGGTATTTATCTGAAAAAATCCAAAATGCTACTTTGAAGGAACGTATCCATCCAAACATTCATTGCAGCATTGTTTACAATGGCCAAGATGTGGAGACAGCCTGGGTGTCCATCGATAGATGAATGGATAAAGAGGAGGTGGTACATATATACAATGGAATATTGCTCGGTCATGGAAGAGAATGGGTTAGTGCCATCTGCAGATGCATGAAAGGACCTGGAGGGTATTGTGCTGAGTAGAGTATGTCAGACAGAGCAATGTGATTTTGCTTATATGTGGAATCTAAAGAACAAAATAAATAAACAAATAAAACAGAAACAAACTCCTAGATACAAAGAACATTTTGATGGTTGCCAGATAGAAGGGGTGTTGGGAATAGGTGAAATAAGGGGAAGGGATTAAGAAATACAAATTTGTTGTTACAAAGTAGTCATGAGGATATAGGGTATAGCATAAGGAATATACTCAATAGTATTTTAATAACTACAAATGGTGTCAGATGGGTGCTAGATTTGTTGGGGTGATAAATGGGAGGGGGTTGGGGTAACATGAAAAGTTAAGGGATTAAGAAGTACAAATTGGTTGTTACAAAATAGTCATGGGGATGTAAATTAAAGCACAGGGAATATAGTTAGTAATATGGTAATAACTATGTATGATGCCAGATGGGTGCTAGACTAGTCTGGGGATCACTTCTTAAATTATACAAACATCTAACCACTGTGCTATACACCCGAAATTAATATAAAATAATACTAAATGTCATTTGTAATTGAAAAATTTAAAAAGGGGTGAAAAAGGTAAGAGGGGATGAGAGGTTCAAATTTCCATGTATAAAACAAATAAGCCATGGGGATGTAATGTACTGCATGGGGAATATAGTCAATATTATAATAATGTTGTACGGTGTCAGATGGTTGCTGGACTTAACGGTGATCACTCCTTTAGGTATACAAATGTTGAATAACTATGGTGTATACCTGAAACTAATATAATATTGTATGTTAGCAATATTTTAATAAAAATCTTTGAAAAGGACACAATTTATTGATCAGCAGGCAGTAAACACACACCTCATCAACTCTGCTCAATGATCCTAAGAAGAACATTGCGTTTTTTTCTTCATTTGGAGATAAGAAACCCGGAACTCTGATGACAGTACCTGACTGAGGCCATACAGCAGGGCAGTGACAGAGTATGATTCTAAAGTAGGTCAAACTGTGACTGAAACCACATGATTTTTCCTCATTCTATGCTGCTAGGATAGAGAACCCTTCATCACTCTTATCTAGTTGATGAACCACTCTATAAATGAGGGCAACCAAACACAATTTCAGGGCCGGCTGAGTGGTGCGTTGGTTAAGAGATGGCTTGGGATGCCAGCTCTGAGCTTCAGGGCCCCAGTTCAGATCCCACATGAGGGTCAGTGACACTGCCCTCTACAGCTAAGATGGTGAGCAACAGCTCAACCTGAAGCTGGGCTGCCATGAGTCACTGGTGACAGCGTAGGCTGCATCCCCTGATGCAGTGGGCTGCCATAAGCTACTGTATGTGGCTGGCAGCCAGCGTGAGCAGCTGGCAGCCAGTGTGAGCTGCGAAGAGCTGCCGAGAGTGGTGGTCCAGAGGCCGGTGACCGATCTGCCTCATCTGGGAAGTGTGCAATGATAATATACCAACATGGGCCAGTGAAGTCATGTCCTCCACAACCAGACTGAAGAACAAAAAGGACAGCAACTTGTCTGTTCCCCTTCCCCTGATTCCCCAGCGCTGTTCCCCTCCCCCAAACCCCCAATAAAATCTTTTAAAAAAACAAAAACACAATTTCACATTATAATAATGATGAAACTATTGTTATTATCCCATCGCTAGGTTCCTGGCTAGGACAGCATTAGTTACTTGGCGACAGTGTCAGTGAGCAGGGCCACACTTCCACCTCTGTATATCTCACTCTGTATGGCAGGAGAAAAGTCATGTTTGCCTGTAGAGCTCTACAGGTCAGAGCTAAAAGTGTCAAAAACTGGCTTCACATGAACATTTAGTTGTCCACTGATGTGGCATGGCCCATACCTGATGTTGCACCAGAATGTGCCAAGGTGTTCTGGTCATCAGTATGGGGTCTGCCACCAGGGTAGGCAGCTGTGTGGTCTTGGGAGCCACTGAACTGGCATTTCCTCAATTGTGAAATAACGGATTAGATGAAATCACCACCTCTACAAGTTTAAGTCTAGCTCTATGATCTGATCTTTGGCAAGGCCCTGCAAATCTGGCAGATAAGTTTCCTACACATTATTTTAAGTTTCACAGATAATTTTGGATTGGGAAATTACTTTTGAAATGTTATGCCACCAAAAGTATTGTCATTTTGCATTAAATAACTTCACAGTTCTCTATGTGCAGCTACTATGAGAAAAATAAACTGTCAAATTAAGATAAGATGATGAGCTAGCTGTGTTTATTTGTCTCAGTCTAAATGACATGTTATACCCGATCTTATTCATTCATGAAGTTTCATGACACTTCATACTGCTGACGGTCCTTCCTTCATCTCTTGTCTGCTGTGATGTGGGTTCCTAGTTTTTGTTCCTCCTCTCCTGCATTCTGCAACACCTTTTTGAGTTCCTCCTCTGCCTCTCTCTTTGACAGGGCCTTTCTGTTGCTCTTTTTACACACAATCCACATGTGACCTTGTCTACTGTCAGGGTGCCAGTCACCCAAGTCTACACCCCAGCCTGGATCTCGGGCTGAGCTCCAGAGACATCCATTCCCTCACCATAGATGAATGTACCTCAGGTGCCCACCCCCTTCCTCCCTGTGCTCCTATTCTACCTATTCCCTGACCTGGGGAATGAATGGCCTTGACACTCACTGCTGTAGGAACGTACACCTGTGAAGAGTTAATTCAAAATTAGATCTCAGGCCAAAAACCTAATTGCCTAAGGTGCTAAACAAGTAACATTCATTATTGAAGTGGGATAGGTAGAAGGGGGATGATGGCAAAACTGAAGGGTACAGGCCAGTCTAAAGGGGTGAGCTAATGTTTAACTCCAGCTAACTAGAGTCATGTAAAATTACAAGTTCAGTCAGCCAAATTGAGGACTTTTGTGAAAGAGGGTTGGAATTTGGATTTCAATGTGAAATCTCTGCATTTATAAGTGTTTATAACTAATCAAATTTAAAACAATATGAACCAAACAAAATATGCTTGGTGAGCTGTTATTTTGTAAGCTCTGTTCTAGATCGATGGTATCCAAAACTTTTATTCAAAACTATTTTAAAGTAAATTAAATTTTTACCTGTTTGGAAATCCAATTTGGCTAGTAACCACTATTTGTGTAAAAAAATCTCAAAAATTATGTTTTTCCATCCTTATAATAACATGTGTATTGTAAATACACACAAAATTGATTGCAAAACCTTCAAGAGAGCCAAAAATATTTCTCTGACAGCTAGTAAGTTAAGATTTCTTGCATTTTATCACTAAAACAGTCCCGGCTGTAAAATACTCATAACAATCATTAGTGATATTCGATGATGTTAAATCTGGCATTGCATGTCTGAATGTGTAAATGTTTCACTGTACAGACTGAATACAGAAGGTTTTGTCTCTGTTGAACTTGATTCCTGCCTCTCGTGGCCCCCCTTCACTTAACTGATTTGCAGTATAAATGCATCAATTTTTACCATACCTGATTTGCTCATGTAAAGTAGATGAAACACATTTTTCATGTAACTTTACTTTCATAATTTCAAATTTGTGAGATTTACATTCTCCAGCAGTCATTCCCTTTCAGTCACCATACTGTTTGTTCCCTGGCCTGTGGTGAGCTTGCGTTCTACTGTCTACAGGGAAAGCAGTGATACAAAGCAGTAAGAATGTTGAAAGAGGAGGTGGAAAGAGGTCTATGATTATGTTGAAACAAAAGTGAAATTAACTCCACACGGACATGCAAATGGTAATGACATTTGTATTCAACCACACCTCACCCTACAATCTCATGACTCTTTCATTGAATAGAGACTAAAGACTGCAAGGGAAGCCTTAGTGTGTGGTCTTCAATATGTTAGAATTTGGTGCATAACACATTCAATTGCAAATTGTGCATTTTAAATTACAGACTTTACTGAAATATTAAAGCATATGTAAGAGTGAATTATGAATAATATATTTACTTAACGCCCAACCCCCACTCCTAAGACCATTGTACCTGTGGCACTTTGCCACCTCCAGGCCTGGCTAAGTGCTGTTCTACTCACCGATGAGATACATGCCAATCCAGTCTCCAGCATCCACTTCCTCCTTTATATCCCAGTGGATCACCAGGTCCTGTGAGTGCCCTATGGAGTAATAGGAGCTGCTGACCATGAGCGTGGAGCGGCTGTCTGAGGTGACCAGGTCGGTGTCGCTGGTGGAGCGAGGGATGGTGATGGTGCCATGGGGGCCGGTCCTGATGGCCATGCTGTGGAACTGGCCAGGGTTGTAGCTGTGGCGGAGTGGTTCCTTGCAGCGGCGTCGGTTCTGGGAGTTTCTAGATGGAGATGCCATGGCAGCCAGGCCTAAAAACCTGTTCTGGTACAGGTTCTGTTGGGGGAAACAGACAATCAGTAAGGGAGGAAGAGCCAGCCACAAGGTGGCTGTCTTTACAGGAAAGGAAGGATATGCTAGGAGAAAGGAGCTGAGAGTGAGCAGCCCCCTAGGAAGATTTGAAACGCAACAGGAACATCTTTCGCTGGAAACTCTTCCCTCAGAAACACGCTGTGGCTCAGGGTTCACACAGAGAAGGCAAGAAGGAAAATGTGAGCTCCTCAAGTAGACGTGCATTTGCAGCTCTACTGGAGTCCACCTCTCCCAGCTCCCTCCAGCCTGCTGGTATTAGAAGGGCTGCATGTGTGCAGAATGGTCCTGAAGGTATGACTGCCCCCAAACAAAGTGCCATGTCTTGAGTTCTCCAAAATCAATTCGATTGGATCCAATTTTATCCTTATTTAGGGTAAAAATAAACGCTATCATCACTAAGCATTTTAGTGATCCCTGCAGCATTTCCAACCCTACATAAGGCCCTGAATCAGAGGTAGGCCCTGAATCAGAGGTGGTCCCTAATGGGTGAGGCGGTCTGTCCTCCAGTTACACTCTTTCACTCTACAGAATGTCTCTGGTCCATCTGAAATTTCTATTATGGATCTCAGATATCCTAGCACCATTTAAGCACCACCATTTTCAATAAAAGTCAATCTCAGGGGACTGCATCTTCCTTAAAGCCAATGTTATTATATAAAACATGGCCTCTTATGAGAATAAAAAAATGCATTTTAAAAAATTGTTTACAACATTGAGCACTTAAAATGAACTGAACTGATACAGAGCAATATCTTGATTGTTTTGGATACCGATAGCTTTTATGATATGGGTAAAGGGCATCATATAAAACTTATACAATGGATTCTTTTTTTTTTAAGATTTTTATTGGGGAATTGGGGGATGGGAACAGTGCTGGGGAATTGGGGGAAGGGGAACAGACAACTTGCTGTCATTTTGTTCTTCAGTCTAGTTGTGGAGGACGTTGCTTCACTGGTCCAAGTTGGCACCATTATTGCACTCTTCCCGGGCGAGGCAG